TCGATCAAACACTTTTTTCTTTGCCATGAATTATTTTTGCAATCCTGGTTGAATACGAGATATATATGGTCCGTTATTGCTCCGATATTCAACCTCCCAAGAGAAGAGATCTTTTTGATAATCTTTAAGCGTAAAATCGTTCATTTTCCTCTATTTGATCACCGAAAAACTGCCGCAATGTTGATCTTTTGAACTTTCTCCTTGAAATTCCAATTTCGAAAATACTTGGTTGTACTTTTTATTGCCCTCCAAAAATTTGCACAATTTTCATAATGTTGCGACTGTTCTCTCCTTTTCAAATTTTCTCTCATATCTATGTTTTACGTACAATTGCGATTTTAGTGATTCATCAACAAATCCTTACTGCATAGCTTGCACCTACTTCTTTTTATGCGCTGATCCATCACCGAACTGCTACTCTAATCACGTCTGTTGCGCAGCAGGGCCTAATTAATCCGCACAGTAAGGTGCAGAAGGTGTAAATGCGGACATTTTATGTTTGTGACACGCATGGGTGTAGCAAGTATAGAGGTCACATCGCAGCGTTTAATTGACCAGTTCGCTGTGGTTTTCCACCGAAATGAGTCTACGCTGAAATTGATTGGTAGAGGTGATTGCAGAGAGCATTGTTTGAGCATATTGAACTTGTGGTGATGTTTTATAGACCTTGGCAAGCTCTTTTTCATAGATTCACGTCTACTTCACAAAAATACACATTTCTGAAAATAACTCTTGAACGATTGCTCAAGAGTTGCGTTTGTAAAGAACTCTGAAGGTTCATTTTTTTCCTTCGAAGTGCAAACAGAAGCGCATTGCAGCGAAATTTTGTTAGTTTGCACTATGTGTAGTGAGAAATTTAAGAGGATTATTGACTGTTGTGATGGTGTGTGGTGGCGTATAAGGATAGGAAGAGGGGATAATCTTTCATTTATCTACCAGATGAGTTCGGAATTATTAAGTGTCAGCATAAGTTTTGAATTCGATGAGTGCAACTTTCATCATTCTATGATGATTTTAAATTTCCAAGAAAAAATTTCAAGATGTACCAGTTAGTGGAAAATCATCTTTTTTTTTATCCCATTTCTTGGATTTTACACCTTTTGGACTTGGTACTGAGGTTGGTCGCAATCCCGTTTTTCTAATTTTCATTTTTATTGGCCTGCTTCAGAATCTAGAAAGTACCTGTCCTCCTTTTCTTTAAATTGAATTTTTTCTCCGTATTAGAAGTTTATGAATAAGCGTCTTCAAATATGACAATCTATATAAACAAATTACTCATCAAATAACATTCAGAATTGACAGCGTCAGAAAGATAAATGCAAAGACAATAGATGAATTAACCGACTCCACACAGAGCGCCGCTAGCACCCATATAGAGGTTTGGCGTAAGTGAAGGGCAGGGCTTTCGTCATTCGAGCTCTATCCAGCAGGAAACACATATCAAGTAGACTTTTACTCTTCTCTTATCATAGCTAATAGTGGTTCAATTCGGCTGACTAGAGTAGCTGGTGGCAGTGAATTTAGCTTTGTGAGGGCTGATTGCCGGTGGTGATCACTTTGCTGCTTGGCTCGTTCTCGCCACGCCATGCTTTCAGCTTGAGGAACGTCTCAATGCCGAAAATGATTGTCAGAGCCACGCAAAGGATCTAAAGTCGAAAAAATAAGGAACATCTACAATACATGGATTGAACTTACAGCTGTCATGATTGCAGCACCCCGTCCATCAGTACCCCAACTAGCCGACAAATGTACCATCAACCAAATGGAGATAAAGTAGAATAAGGTATTAATTCCATAGAAGAGGAGCTCCTAGAAAAAAAGAGAATCGTGAGTTGTGTGCGCTTGGAGGAGATTAAGTCAGTGACCTTAAGATTATGGTTGAGAAAAATCTTCTCAGCAAAAAAACCTCTACAATCGCACATAACCCTAAGCCGAGGAAGGCACGGACGCACAAAAACTGCGGGTACGTTCACGAGACGCGATCTATACGCTTGGAAAACACTAAAAGTTTCCTAAGCTTCGAATATGTGGATTTGTCTCCAGAACTTTTTTCGAGAAAGTTGTTAAGTCAGTGAATCAGAAGTTTGGACGTTAAATGCCCTTATTCCATTGAAAATGCGCTTTTTTCAAATCATGTGCTCTCTCAGCTGGCGCTGGATTCATGCACCTAGAAAAGGAAAAGCAAATCTTGACGGAATTCCATCGAAACGAACCACAACAATCAGTCCCTCCCTTGTTGGCTCTTCACGAATAGTGAGATGTGGAAAGCACACGTAACCAGCGAGTAACAGGCAGACAACGATCATTGTCTCGAATGTGATATGCTCAGTCCATGCAGCCGTTGTGGACCTTCTATCTGCGCATATTGCCAGTATAAAGGCGACGAAAGAGAGAACCTGCAAA